CCGCAGAGGAGGATAAACGGAGGTCTGCCGCCACCAGTAATTGCCGGCTGCATGTTCCCAGGAGGCCGTGCACTGTGCTCACATTGCCGAGCTCGCTCAGCATTCCGTCCAGAGCTGCCATTTACCGGGTAATTAACGTGCAGTAAAAACACAAAACCTACGGCTCACACACGGGCAGAACATGAAATCAATTAGAACTGGAGCGGGGCGCACCACGCCAGTTACACGCTCCTGACCGCAGGAAATCAACATCAGAAACGGTCCGGCTACGGCCCACCGAGCACGTCCAGCACCACATCCAACCCAGCAGCATCCGAGCAGCATCAGCAGCCCTCGAACCGCCACCGAGCGATCCACGTCCAGTCGCAGCTGATCGGCCAGCAACGGTTCGAGCCGGAGAATAAGCGTCGAGCCCTGGCGTGAATTATACGGGACAGGTTTGAGTGAACTCCGAGTTCAAGAACTGTGTCACAGTTCGGTGCAGTGACCAGTGCGGCGGCAGCACCGTTCTGTCAGCCGGGCCCGCGTCCCTCGCCGCACACCAGGGCTATACCCGGAACTTCATTGGCCGCCGTTCCGCCCGGCAGTGTTTCCTTATTCAGCGATGATGACGTACGGCGCCCGTAGATAATCGCCGCTTGTTTGCAGCGCCAGAGTTGCGCGGCTGGTGTCAGCGAACACAAAGACCTCCCACTCGGTGCGCCGGGCGGGTGCACCGTGCAACTCTGATGACAATCCTAATGGGAACGATTTGTCAGCTGTTTTGCAAAGTGAGAACCAGACGTGCGTCATTCAAAACAAGCCATAAGAAGGTGCTATCATCGACGAGGATCTGGTTTTTGCCGAAGAATGCAGCACCAAAACCACGGCGTAGATGCAGTCGGTGCTTAATCGCGCCCGGAATCCAATTAGCTCGCTGATGACGAGCCGCCATGGGACGGAAGTACCGTAATCTTCCCCGAGCTGCCATCACTCACTGGCCCTGGAGTGACGCCAGCCTCATGCCGATGCTCGACCACAAGCCTATTCGAGTCGCGCCCCCCATTTTTCTCCGCACTAATCCGTACATTCGTAATGGCAAGCCTTTTGTTCTGGAAATGGCCGTCAACATAGTCAGTGCCAATGTCCGCTATCAGCCAGGAGGCAGCACCATGTTGCCTTCCGGAAGGGACACAATGTAGCACGCAGACGTAACCGTCAGCAGCTGCGAACGGAAACCGGCAGGGGGTGTGACCCAGACTTTTGAGACCATCACTGATGATGGTCCGGCGTAGGGGCAGATTCTGGTACAGACCTGTGGGGGGCCAACGGTGCCCAAACAACACGTAAAAGCAGCCGACGGCCCTGCGCCTACAGCGCCAGGGTCTGAGTCTCTGGGAGGACTAGCGGCTTTTCTGAAACCGCTCACAGAAAGGCCGGTATTGTTCGCTGCCATTAGCGGCTACCTCTGAGTCGAACGGCCGCCGTCACCCTGAGAAAGGGCGGCAGTCGTTTTATCTGAGGCCGCCGCTGTCCACAGACAAGACCGCAGCGGTCGGGCGGTGGTTAGAGGCAAGATGTTAGAGGGACACCGCCGGCGGCTGAGCTGGCTGGGTGACCGGCCGGCCACTCCGGCTGGTCCGCGGTCCGACAGTCGATTACACGCCTACCGGCCAGGGATACCTTCCTGTGCGGCGCGGCAGTCTCCGGCCGGAGCCGGCGCGCCGTCCCCCCCCCCCTCCCGTCGCCGTCAGCTGACGCGCCCCATACGACTCCGTCCCGGCGGCGACTGAGACCGGCCCGGTCTGCGGGCGTCACAGCCACCCTGGGCCACCGTCCCCGGCCACCCCGGCGCTGTTTGTGTCAGCGTGGCCGCTAAACAGGACGTTTTTGCCTCGTCTCGGTCGCCTGTGAAAGCAGCGCCGGTCGCGCCGGCCGCCGAAAACAGGCCGATTGTGCGTCCCAGACCGACCGCCGCGCCTGCCCGCCCGCCCCGTCCGGCCGGTTCCGGCGGGGCGGCGACGACGGCGACACGTTTTTGTCAGCCCGCCCCCGCGGCGACAGACCGATGGGGTGCGACTCCTCATTAGCAAACATCATAAATGCCTCAAAATCCGGACGTGGCTGTATAAACAGGTCCATCTGTCGCTCGCCGAGGGAGGCGCGCAGGGGTCGGAGCGGGCACGCGCCGCACGCCGCCGCAGTGCCATGTTTGTGACCGCGCACTGCTCCACAACACTGCCGACCGACCGACCGCTCTCTGCCCACCGGGAGCAGCCTTGAGCGTCTGCACAGACAAACGGCGCCCACCCATTACACGCTGCCGACCGCCGCTAAATTGAATCTCTGGCGAAATGGGAGCAGCCCATAGAGCTCCGCCGCCCACCGCCCATCGTAATTAGTCGTCTCCGATTGGTCCCACATTCCACAGCCCACGTCGTCTCCGCTTTTCTCTGAAGGACCAACGACAGACGGCGCACAACGGCTATCGACAGAGTGCTTTGCGCGCGATTGATGAACACAGCCAGTCAGCAGGAACAGCCGTTGAAGGGACTACAAACGACCGTCCTCGGGTATAAATACTGTCCGCGCGGCACTTAACCGCTGGGTGAGTGTGGCGCGACGCGGCCGGCGCCGGTCTGGCACCCAACGGCCGGGGAGGGCGGGCTCCCCTCGCCGGGAGGACCATTTCCGCGCAGCTGGGCTCGGCTGGCGGCGGGAGGCCGACCGAGTGGCGGGGGAGGGCACCGGTCGGCACCTAATGGCCCCGAATTTACCACCTTCCCGCTGAGTAATCGGCGGTAATCTCCATACTGCGGGACGGGGAGCGAAGTCGGAATGATGTCTCGCCGCTGAAATGATGTCTCTGTCAGAAGAGACTGGGCAATGAGAAACTCGACTATCCAGTCAACAAGCGAAGTAAGACCACGACTCGACGCCTCTGAAGTGCCGTACCTCCAAAGCTGCAGCCACATCGGCGCGTCTTATGCGGATAACCTGTGAGTCTCTGTGAACGCAAACGTCGGCTGGACTGCCGGCACTCGGCAGTCCGTCAGTCCCGCCTCGGCCGTCGACCTCCGCTCTCAGCCGCTCAGAGCAGTGCTCGCATGCGCACTGCGCTGAGCAAACCTGTCCCCCGCTTCCAGGAATGGAGAGACGTATCGCATTCCCGGCCCGTCCGACCGCATGGGAGCGCAGAAACCCGCTGTCGCCCTTCACTCGGCGTGTGTCGAGATGGAATCGCAGAGTCTCCAAATGGCCGACGTCCATTTGTGCGGCATTCCGTGTAATAGCGCCGAGCGCGTCAAACTGCCAAACACGATACCTATGCCGTGACGGGTTTGACACATGTACTGGCCATTGCTCTGGTCCAAAAATAAGGCATCATCGATGGTGAGATAAAGCAGCAGAGTCTGGTGCAGGTTGCAGCGTGAAATATTTCGGGAGATAACTGCAGATGAAGACCCAGCAATTAGCCGGCGAATTCCACAAGACAGGCTCGGAGAAGATCAACAGAGACGGCAGAGATTGGGGAGAACGAGTTTTCTGTGTTGACGGCCGTACCTGTCAGCGCGCTGCGCCGGCCGCCATTGTCACCCGGGCGACATTCCTGTTTGGTAATTGGAGCCGGGGTTCGGTGGCCACCCACCGCCTCCTCCGCCACCCCACCCCCGGGAAACCTGATCTCGCCGCCCCTTCTCGGCCACAATGGGACCTGTCACTCGGCTCAGAGGCGCCCGGGAAACGGTGCGTGTGTGGCCCGTCAGAACTCAATTCCCGTCACGTCCCAAACACTGGCGGAACCGTACCGGCCTCTAGGGGATATTAGTCTCCTTCACCACCGCCAGTGTTGGCCGTGGTTCAACATGGACGACATTGGTAAACGCCAGGTGAACACGGAGCGGCAGCGGACCAGGCGAGACCCGAGGCCATGGGCCTGAGGCGATCGGGCAGTCTAGCCGGGTCACTGCATCCCAGCTCCTTCACAGCAGCTCCGAGCTGGATCCACCCAGGTGATGGTTCGCGGACACTGAGTCCAGCTTCTCCTCAGGGCTGGATCTGCCCTGGCGGTCACGGCTCTGGATTCCTCCGCAGTCACTCTTGAGCTGGGTCCGCCCGGCCGGCGGCATCCCGTGCAGCGGCGCTCAGATTTGTATGCGGGGAACCGGTACCGGACTGGCCAGCCGGCCTGACGAGCGGCGGGCGGGCGGCGCCGACCGGCTGGACGGTTCCGGCCCGCCAGTCCCCGCCCTCCAACACGCCCCACCAGCGCCCGACATCAATAACGTCCGTCTGCGACCGGTCCGGTCCGGGCCGGGGCGGGCCGGCGGCGCCATTAGCGGGCCGTGTCGGCCGGTATCAGTGTCAGTGTCAGTGTCAGTGTCAGTGTCAGACGGCCCCGTGACGGACCGCACCGCCGGCCCCGATCGCGCACCTGATACGGCCGCTCACGCAGCCCTCGGACCGGGGCACGGCAGTTTGCCGGACACGGCCCGGCCCGGGCGGCATGCTCGCCGGTCCGGGCCGGCCGCCGCGCCGTAAAAGTGCGCCGGTTCAGGGAAAACGGGTCCGCCCGGGCGCGGCGGGCGCGGTTCAGCCCTCGATCAGCGGTGGCCGGTCAGCGATCGGGCCCTGGCGCGACGCCGCCACCTGTCCCTGTGTTGGAGCGGACCGGAGGTGCGGCTCACGGCCGGCTGAGCCCCACTGTCCGGCAATTGATCGCATTGTGTCGAGTCCACCGCGCACCGGACTCCGGCCACCGCGCTCGGCCGGCCGTCAGTGACTGGCCACTTTGAAATTTGAACGTAATGTTGTCGAACAGCGTTTGAATTTGCATGAGGCCTCCAACGCGCCGCTGACTGCGCGCGGCCATCGCAAGGCCATCCGCAAATGGGCCTCGGAACAGACCAGCGACGCTTGTTCATGCTTCACAAATGTCCTCGTCATCGCATAACGCCACACACTCGCAAACTCGGCACATACCGGCGCAGCGCACAGCTGAACGTATGCGGGAGACTCACCTGTCATCGTTTCCCGGCGGCTTGGAGAGCTTGATGCACAGTACAAACTGAATGGCGCACACGAGCAGACAGCAGAGGTTGAGGCAGACGCTGAGCGCCGACAGCGCCACCGTCACCTCGTACAGTTTGATGTACTGCTGGGCGTCGACGGCGCGCCGGTAGCCGCTGATCAGGTGCGAAAACTCGTCCACGTCTAGCGGCGTCACCTTCAGCAGGAAGATGGACGCCAGGATGGCCAGCAGCAGCGACGACAGGCACAGCAGGCCCAGGCAGCACAGCATGCGCTTGACGCGCGCGTCGCGCGGCAGCGGCGGCACCAGCCGCTCACAGAACGAGTCTGTCCGTTTGGATGGGCCCAGCCCGGCGGCGGCGGCGGCGGCGGCGGCGGCGGCGGCCGGGGTCGGCGGCGGCAGCGTCACGTCGCCGCGACCCGTCACGTCCAGCCGCGTGGCCGCCGAGGCGTTGAGCGCGGTCAGCGCCGAGATGTCGACGCTGGGCTGCGACTGATCGCGCGACTGGTCCAGGCCCGTGGTGCGCGTGGTGGCCGTCTGCCCGGGACTCACGCTGCCGCTCGTCTGAGAGTGCTTGCTCACCGTGCTGTAGGCGCTGACGTTGAAGCCGTGCGCGCCGCCGTTGGAGCGCAGCGTGGCGTTGTGCACGTGCGGGTAGTTGGACCTGTTGGGCAGCGTGCCGTTGAGGCGCGGCGCCGGCTGCGGGCCGCCGTTGGCGTGGCGCACGTCGCCGTTGGCCGGGCGCCGCTCCATGGTGCCGCCGCTGGTGGCGGCGATGTGTTTGAGCATGGCTGCCGGGTCAGAGGCGGAGCGGCGCACGGCGGCCGGACCGCAGCGGCGGCGAGCTGCGCGCGCCTGGTGTCGCCCCGACGGCCGGCGGCGGCCCTCTCGGCATTCCTGCAGCGCGCCTGCAACGGAGACCGAACGTGAGCGGCATCGGCGAGAGACGGAGACCGGCTGAGGAGACAGCACCGGGAGGAGAATGGGCTCCCGGCAGACCGTGGAGCACACTCGACACGCTCGGTTAGACAGAAGGGTTAGACAGCAGCGGTTCCGCAAAAACACACCTCTCAGCCAGGGGATTCGTCCGATGAAGTGGCCTCCCCTGTTCGCCGGCTCCCTGGCCGCCGAGATACGTCCTAATCCCGGTATCCCACTCAAACCTACCCCCGCCGGTACCAACCAGACCTACCTCCCTCACTGTGGAACCGTACCTCACTGGCTGATCGTCATCGCGGCGGTAATCGGTCGCGCGGCGAGCAGCGGTTTTTGTCGCAGTGCGCGAACAAAGACTGTGAGCGGGTCTCTGCCGGCCCTGGAGCCGTCAGCGGCGGCCTCCGCTCCCAGCGGGCCCCATCAACCGACAACTGCCCCCGACCAATTCAAACCCAGCCGAAATTTCTCACGACACCCATAAAAAACGGCCCCGGTCAGCCGAGTCAAGGTCGGGCCGGCGCGCGGCGGTTCGGGCCCGCCACGAGCACGGCCGGCCGCGGCGTACCCGAGCGTGCTCTGGACGTTCCAGCGGGGACGTACCTGCGTAGGCTCCGCCCCGGGCGGGGCTGTGCGCGTGTTCCTCCCGTCGGCGCACGCTCCACTGGCTCCCCTCGCTCGCGCGGCGGCCCGCTCCTCTCGGCGCCGGCGCCACCGGACAACTGCCGGCCGGCGCCGCCAACGGCCGCCGCTTCGCGCCAAAACAGCGCCCGCGCCGCGCCGCCAGCGACGCTGCCGTGACGTCAGGGCCCGCCGGCCGGCACCTGTCCGGGCTGCCGACTGGGCTGAGGGGGCTGTTACGAGGGCTGAGGGGGCTGTAATGGGGCTGGGGAGGCTGTTATGGGGACTGAGGGGCTGTAACGGGGGCTGAGGGGACTGAGGGGCTAATATAGGGGCTGAAGGGCTATAACGAGGGCTGAGGGGGTGTACCGGGGGCTGGGGGCTGTAACGGGGGCTGAGGGATGATCTGGGGGCGGGGTGGGACGATCGCCAGAGCGCGGGGTGGGAGCCGATCTGAGACGACGCGTTATGGTCAAGTTTCGTCATAGATTGATGAGACGACAGCAGCAGACACTCCCACCGTACATGGGAGTTTTCCCAGTGTCATTTGTAGCGCACATTGAGGACACCCCGCGACGCCTCGTTCAAACACCATCAAACTTCGCCCAACGGCCTTCTGCGGCTAAATGACAACTCTCGAGACTGTCCTCCCCATGCCTATCTCACCATTGTAAATCTACGATGATTCTCATCAACTCCACGGTTTTCCTGGCTTTGCTAAACACGCAATCCATCTCAAAAATATAAAAAAGTTAAGACAGCACGGGTAAGTTACAACTCATTCCTAAAATATAAACTAGCCTCATCCACAAACCACAGAGCACGCGGTGCGCACAGTTCACATCCCCTGTGTACCGGAAGTCGGAACTGGTAGCCGGCCTACCGTGACCTCCCCACTCACCCGTGGCGGGCGCCCGCTCAGATCCTCCCTGTTCCTCTGCCGGCGGAGTGACAGCCCCTCCCCGCTGCACCGGTCCGGTGTCATATCCCCGCTCCGGGGAGAGGAGGGGAGGGGAGACGAGGGGAGCTGCCGCCTCCTCTCGCCATCTCCCACATCCGGTGTGGGCGCCGTGGGAACTCGGGCGGTATAATACACCAGACTGGACATAAGCGTAGGAACCATGGGTGCAAGGGTGCAGCTGCACCCACAATATTTATCCAGTGGGTGCAGACAATGTATTCTGCACCCACAATAATCTGAACCAAAAACCCCTTTTTCATCAACACTACTTCCCATGCAGCACGGCAAATTCAGGATATGTTGCCTACTATCCATCTTTCGAAGCATTTGCTACTGTGATCAGTGATGGTCTTCAAAACTTACATTTGTGCTGAAAAAAGGGAAATGGAGCATGTGATTGAACACATACCGAACCGATGACCCACTGTCAAAAATTTTAGCCCGATATCTTCGAAAATGGCTAAGTTGGCCGCTTTTACTTTTTGCGGTAGTCAATATTGACAATATTAGCCCTCGAATGTGTGCAGCGTTTTCCAGCTTCTAATGTGTAGGGGGAGGGGGAGGGGGTCGGTCGGACCCCCTGCCGTTCGGCCCCTGATCGAGCTAGAGCTTCGCGGAAAAAACGAGGGTGTTGCCCGTGACGAGAGGAAGCCGATGATACCCAATTTTAAGGTCCTACTTCATTGGTTGACCTTCCAGGTCAGGTCAATATTCCAAAAGTCGGGAAAATCGGGACCTGCTAGAACTGCGTAAAGTGAAGCTGTTATCGGGTTTTTCGGGGTGCCTGATCACAAATATCTGATGTTAGTTTTGATCACAGATGATTTCTTCATGCATTTAGGCCAGATCGGGTCAGGTCAGGTCAGGTCAACCATTAGGCGTCCTACCGGCTATCCATAGTAGGTGTCAACTACCACTGACGGCGTCGTAGCATATCACGAAAGCACTAAAACTACTTCGTAAACGTTCAAATGGATGCTAAATTCGAAATCAGCCCTATAAACTACCCTAGAAACATGTAAAACTCGAAAAAGTGAACCGAGGTCATCAAAGGTCAATGACCGGACCTGACCTTCAGGTTATCTTCACACCCACCGTGATGCATGGGAAGAACATCATTTCACATGTTTGAACGTCTACAATCACAAAAAGACTGGAAACGCGCGGATAATGTGAGCTGACATACGCCAAATCGCGATTCCGGCCGAACATGGTCTCGAGAATCAGGTCACAGGTCAAAGGTCTTTTGGGTCAGGGTCATGAAATTTTTAGAGTAGGTGTAAAACTGATCAACTCGAGGGTACTAAAAGTTTCGTCGCGATCGGCCGCTTTTTGCGCGAGTTATTTGCGAACAACCATGGGGGGAGGGGGTTCATCCGACCCCCTACACATGCGAGGGTCAATGCTTCCAAATGCACTTATCGGTTGGTACCTTTTCGACATGGTACAACCTCAAAGCTCGTAACGAGCCTTCGCTCGGGTGTCGCCCCCCCCCCCCCGCTTCACCGGCCATGGCTGGATTTCTGCACCCATGCACCCACAATGTTCCAGCCGTTCCTACGCCCATGAGACTGGAGACCGCCCAACTCGGAGTCTGGGCAGGCCTACGGCACTCCGTTGCTGTTGGCGGCTGGTGGAGCTCGACAGAGGCTGGGACAGCTATGCCCGGCGACTGTTTGACACAGGACTCGCTTTAGGTGGCCGGCAGATGCCATGGACATGGAGGCCTGCCGCTGCCCGTTACCCAGGCTGGAAAGAAGAATAATGAAAGTAAGACGGTATATGGCGGCGGCTGCTCGGAAAGAACTCTGCATGCAGTCCCCGGTCCCGATATCACCCTGGTGTGGGTCTAGCTCACAAAGTGCAGTGCGAGGGGCATCCCTGCCGCTTCACTAGTAAGCACTTACGCCTAGCAACAGACTCACGACGTATCTCCGGCTGGAGGCCGGACGGCGGCACGGTGCGATCGCTCAGACAGTCCGACAGCCGGACAGACGGACTCCCCGTCCGACTCAACTCCACCGCTCCCGACCGGCGCCGGGAGCACCATCTGAATTCAGCCCGGCACCTGCCGGATGCACTCAGCGGTGACGTCAGGGCGCAGCTGCTGGTGACGTCACGCCGAGGTCTTCCCGTGACCCGTGACCTGGCCCGGGGAGTGGCCCTCACCTCACCTCCACCGGGCGTGGCGGCTCCGCAGAGCGCTGATCAACTGATGAAGACGCAGCGAGCCGCCGCCTTTGTGCCTGGACAAAAGGGAAATTTAACACTCGGTTATGGCGCTGCTGAAAACCACAGAAACACCTCAGAAAAGCGATCAATCTTGTTTGTGGTTGTTTTCCTGGCAGGCTGCCTCATCGGTATTCATAGAGTATCGGCTAAAGCGCTACTGGAAGGTAAGTGATGGCAGAGGGTACTGCTGAGACGCCGCACTTCCCAAACAGGACGACAAACAGGCACTAAGGGCTTTGTTACGACCCCACGATTTTAGGTCAGCACGGCTCAATCCACACAGAACTTTCAACACCTCTGCACCTTTTTGTGCGTGGCCGTAAACCGTTTGGCTTCACGGCGGCCAAATAAACAGCCCTTCTCTCGGTCCTGCAGTCGGGCGGTGATCCATCCGCGGCCGTCTGGCGGGCGCGGAGTCGGCGCTCCGCTGCAGAATGCCGAGTCGGCGGAGCGGCGTGTCAGTGACCCGGCGTGGAGCCGGCTGTCGACGGCTACGCGGCGTGCAGAGGCCGCCACTCTGCCTCCGTGGCATCTACACACCGTGCAGAGGCCGCCGGTCTGCCTAAACTGCAGCTGCACAGCACGACCGGCGAGCCGGCGGCACCCGACGTCCATCGTGGTCTGTCCGGCGGCACCCGGCGTCCATCGTATCGGTCTGTCCGGCGGCACCCGGCGTCCATCGTATCGGTCTGTCCGGCGGCACCCACCGTCCATCGTATTGGTCTGTCCGGCGGCACCCACCGTCCATCGTATCGGTCTGTCCGGCGGCACCCAGCGTCCACTGTACGATATGTGGCTCACACCAGCCACCGTTCAGTCTCCGTCAATTCCGGACAAAAGTTGTACCTTGGAGGGTGGTGCATGGCGCATGCCGCATGCCTGCCAACCGACGGCGTGTCGCAACAGTGTTGCGCTCGGCAAGGGATGTGACGCGATTCTGGCAGCCGCACACAACTTGTATGATGCACCGTCTCGGCCGACTGTCAACCTGCTACACCGACCCCTGCATTATGTGAGGGCTGAGGCCGTGGCCGCCAGAGTCACATCACGCCACCGTTCGACTGTGACTTCCAGTATCGGCGCAGCGCTGACGCAAGAGCTGGTCGCTGGAACAAAAGACAGCGGTGTATGATTTATTAGATGCACGCTGCTTAGTGCTTTGAAAGGCATCCATTCCATATCCTGTGATTTAGAGGGTCGAAAGTGCCACAACACGGACATCAGTGAGCGATTTATTCCTACCTACCGATCGTATTTAACTACCATTTGTGTTTTCCTGCATACGACTTTCAGGATAAAATTTAAATGCATAAATCAATGAAACAAATCAGGAAAGCTTAGCATGGTAATTAGTAGCGACAAAACAGTCCAATAGAACTATGGCACTTATTCGACACGGCTGCAATGCGTTGTGAATAGCTGACTAGACAATGGACATTCGCCTTTTGAACCTCACACAAACCGTACAGACATCTTCCCGGGTCTACCCCAGTGTCACCCGAGCCCTATCCCGGGCATCCCGGGCACACGCAACCCACACACGCGGTGGCCTATTTCTCGTCCGGTGGGGTCGGACCGGGTGGACACAAATTCCCCCTGTGTGATGAGTCGCACCGCGCCGGTCACGGCTGGACCCCCCGATCTGAGGACGGTTCCGGGAGAGTCCGCCGCGTCACCTCACGTCCGCGTGCCTATCTCCTGACGGCAGGGACCCACCTCACACCTCGGACAACTGTTCCACGAATACGCGGCCCTCGTGACTCAAACCGGACCCGGCCGAAATTGGCGATCAAGGTCTCATGTGGATACGAGCCAAACTTCTACTACACCAGTCACGAGCAGAGACGCTCCGTTAACAAAACAAGGAAGCAGTAATATAACACGCGATTACGCCTAATTACCGCATTTAGACTGGCATCCCACTGCCGTGCCAAGAACAAAGGACGACAAAAACAATGGAAACAAAACAAGCAAGTAACAGTTTGAGGCGTCATCACGAGGAGCACATTGTAGCTGCTCAGATAAGACCTCGTATTCTGTGCAGACG